AATCTTTTCTGAACCCATTCAAGTTTCACAACACCCTTCCTATAGCAGGAAGACCAGAATTGCATGCAGTATTCCAAAAGTGACCTAATCAATGTTCCGTACAGCCGCAACATGACCTCCCAACTCCTATACTCAATGCACTGACTAATAAAGGCAAGCATACCAAATGCCTTCTTCACTATCCTAAATAACTGTGACGCCACTTTCAAGGAACAATGAACCTGCATTCCAAGGTCTCTTTGTTCAGCAACGCTCCCCAGAACCTTACCGTTAAGTGCCCTGATTTAACTTTCCAAAATACAGCACCTCACATTTATCTAAATTAAACTCCATCTGCCACTCCTCGGCCCATTGACTCATCTGATCAAGATCCTGTTGTACTCTGAGTTAATGTCAAAATTGATTTATGAAAGGGAGGTCAATTAGGTTTAGAGTGTTTTGAGCATGTTACTGGAAGAGTAGATCCCTTCCAACTCCATTTTGATTTAGCCCCTCCCCTCAGCTTTGATGATTTGCATTAGCCTGACAGGGCTTTGCATGGAAGTTGGAAACATTGGCTGATTTACTGCTGGTGCTTTAAAAATGATTTTAAAAAATCTACAGGTGATTTGGTGATGAGGGGCAAAAAAACATTCAGTAGTCAATAAGATTACTTCTGGAAATATTAAAAAACTAGCAGAGCAGATGTTGGGGGAGGTCCCAGCAACTCTTTCTCTAGTACATTGATAACATCATTTGGTGTTGCTTCCCTCTCTTCGGAATTGGAAAATTTTTATCAATTTCACTTCCAATTTCCACCGTTCACCTGGTCCATCTTTGACTCTTCTGTTTCCTTCCTTGACATCTGTTTCCATTTCTGGGGATAGACTGGCCACCAATATCCACTATAAACCTATCAACCCCCACTGTTACATTGACTGTACATCCTTAAACCTTGTATCGTGTAAAGACTGTATTCCATTCTCCCAGTTATTTTGTTGTAACAACGACACCACCTTCTGCAGGGGAGCCTCAGAAATGTCCACCTTTTTGCTCAACCGAGGATTCCTTGCCACCATGGTTGACAGGGCCCTTAGTGTCCAAACCATTTTCCACGCTTCTTCCTTTACCACTTTTCCTCACTTGTACATCAACGATGGGAATCCCCCTCGTTTTCACTTACCATGCCGCTAGATCCACATCCAAAATATCTTAACAGCCTCTATTTCCACCACCTCCAGCGGAATGCCACCACTAGACACACATTATTGTCCACTGCTCTATCATTCCACAACGATTGTTCCCTCTGGGAGACCATAGTTAACTGCTTCTCCATTCCCAATACTCCCACAACATCTTCCCATGCATTCGCAGAATGTGCAATATTTGTCTGTTCACCACCTTCATCTTCACTATCCAAAGCCTCAGACAGACCTTCCAGGTGAAGCAGCAGTTTACCTGCACATCGTTCAATCCAGTCTATTGTATTCACTGCTCACAACACGGTCTCTACTTTGGGGAGATGAAACATAGACTGGGCGACTACTTTGAGGAACACCTATGCTCTGTGCATAAAAATGATCCTGACCTTCCATTTGCCTGCCACTTTTACACACTACCATGTTCCCCAGCAAACCTTCAAGAGCAAATGGGTGAACTACAAAAATTGTTTATTTCTGTCTGGCACAAGAATTCAGAGAGAACAGTGGCAAACCATGGCTTACAAGGGAAGTTAGAGAGAGCATTAGGTGCTAAAAAAGAGGCACCTAAATTAACAAGAAAAAAGTCTTGAGATTTGAGAACAGTTTAGAAGTCAAGGGAAGACCAAGGGGTTGATTAAGAAAGGGAAAAGAGAATGAGTAAGCTTGCAGGGAAAAGAAGAACTGAGTAAAAGTTTCTATAGCCTTGTAAAGAGGAAAAGATTGGCAGAAACTAATGTAGGTCCCTTATAATCAAAAACAGGGTAATTTATGATGGGAAACAAAAAAAATGGCTGACTAAATTCATAGACCCTTCAGAAAGAAGGGTCTAGGCCTGAAACATCAGCTTTCCTCTGATGCTGCTTGGCCTGCTGTGTTCATCCAGCTCTACACCTTGTTTTCGCAGATTGTCCAGCATCTGCAGTTCCTACTATCTCTGAGTAAATTCATACTTTGCTTCTGCCTTCACAAAGGAGAACATGAATAATGGACCAGAAGTGATGGGGAACATTTGGTGAGCGGGAGGAACTGAAGTAAATCTGTTTTAGTAGATAAATGATATTGGAGAAATGAATACGATGGAATGCTGATAAATCCCAAGGGCCTGAAAATCTACAAACGAGTGCACTTAAGGAAATAGCCCTCGAAATAGGGAATGCATTGGCGGTTATCTTAAAGATTCTTTAGACTCTGGAATAGTTCCTACAGACCAGAGAGGAGTTAATAGAACCCCATTATTTGGAAAGGGAGGTAGAGAATACAGGAAAATTTAGAACAGCAAGTCTGATGTCGATAGTGGGGAAGATGTTAGAGTCCATTATCAACAATTTTATAACAGAGCACTTGGAAAACAGTGGTCCAATCAGACACAGCATGGATTTACAAAAGGGAAATCAGACTTGACGAATCTACTGGAATTCTTTGAGGATGCCAATGGATGTAGTTTATTTGGACTTTCAGAAGGCTTTCACCAGTCCCACTTTAAAAAATGAATGCGCAAAATTAAAATCGCATGGGATTGAGGATGTTGTATTGAGATGGAGAGAGAACAGGTTGGCTGCCAGAAAACAGAGTAGGAATAAATGGGTCCTTTTCCGAATGGCAGGCAGCGACTAGTGGGTACCATAGGGATTGGTACTAGGATCCCAGTTATTCACAATATATGTTCATGATTTAGATGAGGGAATTAAATGTAAGATCTCAAAGTTTGCAGATGACACAAAGCTGGTGCAAGAGGAGCTGCAAGGAAGATGCAGGAATGTTGCAGTGTGATTTGGCCTGGCTGAATGAATGGGGAAATGCAGTATAATGTGAGGTTTATACAGTTTGGTAGCAAAAATAGGAAGGCAGATTATTATTTAAATGTCTCTAAATTTGAGGGAGGGGAATGTTTAATGACCCAGGTGTCCTCATACATCAGTTGTTGCAAATAAGCATGCAGATGCAGCAGACAGCAAACAGTATGTTGGCCTTCATAGCGAGAGAATTCAAGTCCAGCAATAAGGCTGTCTTGCTGCAGTTATACAGGACATTGATGAGGCCACACCTGGAACATTGTGTGCAGTTTTGGCCTCCTTATCTGAGGATGGATTCCATTGCTATTGAGGGAATGCAGTAAAGTTCACAAAATTGATTCCTAGGATAGCAGGACTGATATTTGAGGGGAGACTGAGATGATTAGAATGATATTCATTGGCGTTTAGAAAGATGACGAGGGATCTGAGACTTGTAGGACTAAACAGGTTAGATGCAGGACGGAAGTTCCCGATTGTCAAGAGTCCGGAACAAAGGGTCATTGGTTCACACCTTGTCCCTAAGTGTTTTGAGATGAGGAGGAATTTCTTCACCCAGAGAATGATGAACCTGTGGAATTCAGTGTCACAGAAAGTAGTTGAAATGTTCTTGTGGCTAAAGTGATCAAGGGACATGGTTAGGGTTGGCGGGGGGGTGGGGGTAGGCGGAGGAAGAAATGGCAGGATTAGGGTACTAAGCTCAATGATCAGCTATGATCATACCGAATGGTGGAGCAGACTCGGGGGAGTCAAATGCACTACACTCCTGCTCCTAACTTCTACATTTCTATTTTTGTCTCAGTCTGCTGCAGTGCTCCACCGATACTCCATGCACAGAGGAAAAGCAATGCCTCATCTGCTTGGGGACCTTACAGCCTTCAGGAGTTTGGTAACAAATTGAATTTGATAATTTTAGAGCTTGAACACCTCCCACGTGTAACCCTTCATGACATGTAATGTTTTCAGCATAGCCAACCCATTTTCATCCACTCATAGTTTTCATTCTCACCTGTCTAGATTTTGTTCTTCCCGGGGTTACTACCTCATTTCTTTGCCAGTTTTTCCCCCCGTCTGGGCCACCTCTCCATTTATTCCTCCTCAATCCACATTGAGCCTAAATACTACCTTTTCTGACCTGCTAATCAGTTTTGAAGAAGGGTCACTGAACTTAATGTTTTCTCTCCCCAGCTGTTGGTAGATCTGAATTTCCCCCAGCAATTTGTTTTGTATTTCAAATCTCCAAAATCCATAGTTCTTTGTTTTAGTATGCACGAATAAATGGGTCACGCACAGGTTCGCAGGCTGTGAGGGAACTGCAAAGATCAGTCCTCAAGCTCCAACGGTTCACAATCTAAATCAATAATTTGGATGTCAGGGCAAGATGTAATATTTCCAAGTCTGCAGATGACAAAGCTAGGTGGGAATATGTTGAGGATGATGCAGTGAAGCAGGTTGATAGAACATAAGAAAAAGGTTCGCAATACTTTAGTTTTCACTGGAACTGTTCCAAAATCTTTCCAGTTTGGGCATATCAAAATTTGTGCAGCTTCATTTATGTTGCCAACCTGACAATGTGTTGACATCCATTGGAAACTGGTCCTGTTGTAACATCAAATATTTTTTGTACCACAAAGCAGCTTAACCAACTGATTATTGCTCGCAACAGTTTTATCTGGCCTACACAGTGTTAGCAAAGCCAGGTCTAAAGGCCATCTATAGCAGCACTCAGATGCCACTACTCATCTAGCAGCCAGATCAGATTTGTGTTACAGATTCCAAACTGGGTTTCATACTCATTCCTGGTAGTTTGATTTTTTGGGGGGGGGGGCACGGGGTGTCAAAGAAGAGAACTGACAACTCACCAATTTGGCCAATGAGCAGAGAGACAAATCAACACAAGCTCAGAGTTGGACAAGAACTGTTTATCAGCAAGGGAAGTGAAACAGAAAGTGAAGTGGGGATAGACATTAATGCATAATGTATCTTGTGGCTACATTCTATGAATAAAGCAATCTTTATTTACACCAGCACTTGGTATTTACTTTTATTTAGAAAGAACAGAAAATTACAGTTAAGCATGGAATAAAATCAAGAGTTACACTAAAAGGCAAAATTAGGTGAGAACCATCTGTTCACAAAACAAACAAGATTTCTGCAAAAACAAATTAATTTTCCATTATATTCAGTTGCTCCAAGTGAACAAGCTGGTGCATTGCAAGACCTATCATACAACATTTCTTTGAATCATTCCTGTAGCATAAGACCTCAGATTCTTTGAGTTATAACACTTTCTGCAGAAACAATTAAGCCTAAGAAAAGGGGCAAGGGAAAGAGAAATGCTTTGGTTAATTTTATGATTCTTATCAGTTATTAAATATGAGGAGACACAAGGCTGTGGCTGGGTTTGTGATGTTAGAAGTGCAGTTTCATCACTAACAACTAATCAAAGTGAACCCTATGCTGTCCTCATATATAAAGGGAGAGATTCACCACCCTTGTATCCCCATCTAAACAATTCAGGGCACAGGCTCATTGCACACACGGTTTACAAAACACTGACAGGAATCCAGTCATAATACTTACTTGGCAACTGTTCAATGTCATATCAAGACAACAACCCATTGTAAATGTACCATGGACATTGTACTCATGTTAATTTCTTGCAAAGTTTGGACCTTTTCACTGATATGAACTGGCTGTGTGCCCAGCATGTAGATTGTATTAAGATGTTAATTCACATTATAACAGAAAATCTTAAAGACCTAAGACAAATCAAGTTATTTAAAACTTCAGAGTTTCAGGTTAATGCAATAGCTTGTACTATTAATCAGCCACAGTCCTGTACGATTCACAGTACATGCTCAAAAAAAGCTCAAAAAGTATATGCTTTGCAAATGCACATTCAAAATAATTTCATGAGAAAATATAGCCATCTTGTTTAAACTCTGAAGGTACTTACTGGAAAAGTTAAACCTGTTTGGATCAACGTCCACAGGGAAATCCAGAAGAACAACAAACTTGTGTTCTCCACAGTTACTGTATGATAGTCATGAGGCAATTACATCATTTTCTAGTGAAACCAAAACTCACTGGTATCAAAAAAGTATGGCATGTTTAGATCAGAGATACAATGTAATTTTGCTTCTGGCTGTTGCCAGTTTTCCTTGTCCTGATACATGGGCACAACAGCAGGTATATGGCAAATCTCCTAATGAGCATAGGTGCGTGCAAAAATAGGTTAACTTTATTGCATCTTTCCTCTATACTGTAGCCTACAAGCAAAGATCTGTGCTGGTATAGGCATAAACCCACAGCTTCTTCTGACAGTGTTAATACTCTAGACCTGTCAGCTTCAGCACCAATGCCGTTGAAAACAAAATGTTAGCTGTGAAAAGAACCACAGGTGGCAATGTCCTTGTATACAGCAACAAGTCCAGACAACTGACATAAGAACTGATCACACTTCATTAGCAAAACAAGTGTGAAGTATTCTGGAGGTAAGCAAGCACCAAGTTACTCATGCCAGCTTGTAGGAGTTGTGCATTGTTGCCCATGTAATGACGGTGAGAAGCAATGTTGAAGCTTTCACTGATTAAATACTTGAACCCTTTTTAGCTGCTACCTCTTCCTATCATTGGCTGGAAAGCCTGGCGTTGCCCTGGAATGTCACTGCAGGCTTCAGCTTGTCATCACATATCTTCATACCAGACCAGCAAGTGTCAGAGACACAGCACTGAGATCTGCACACTGCCTTCAAATAGATAGTCAAACACCATTAGGGTTTATTATATCCATCTGACAAGTTAGGTCTTACAGGCTTATTTTTATGTTCAGATGGATAAAATCTTCCTTACCACAAACTCTCACATCATGGAGGGTCACTTTTTAAATACAGGAATACTAGCATCTCACACACAGTAAAGTTCCTTCATTCAAGCACAGTGACGTGAAGAATGATTCTACAAGATTTGGGATAAGCAGATGGAGAGCCAGGTTATTATAAATGTCTGCTCAGTGTCCACTGGCAGCTAGTTATTGTCCAAGGTTCAGTGATACTTAGCCACAAAAAAAAAATCAGTACAACCACAAACACTGGTTGAAGGGGTTAAAATACAAATCTACTTCCAAGGAATGAGAATATTTGATTTATTTGAAGAATTCCCCAAAAGTTAAGATTGCTCAGTGCAGGCTCTTCTGTGAACGTAATGAATTCACTCTTTTAATGGCAGAACTAACTTCAAAACAGAAAAGTGCTTCGGCTCTGATCGCTAGTTAGCAAGATGTAGACAGACGTTGAGAGCAACAAATCTATCAGGCAGGGAGAACGATTACAGGATCCTCCAGACAACAATTTTTGAAACTTAAAGCATTATTTTTCTGAAAATGGACAGCCTAGATTGTGGAAAACATAGCAATAAAGCACAGTGGAAAAAGTAAACTTGTTACAAAGATTCTGCTCCTTAAAGTGCCAATTCAGCCCAAATTAGGCCCTTCCCTTCAATCACTCACCCGTGTCCAGTTGAAGCAGTTAACAGCAGCACCTCAAAGACAATTTACTGGTGAATTTGGGACGTACATTACAAACAATGCATTGCAAAATCTATTCAATCCTCAGGTATAACAGACGTTTGTACCTCACTCGCATCCTTTAAATTTCAAGTTGACCCTGTTAAGGCTGTACAAGTTAAAACCAGATTTTTGTAGCTCTTGTTCCTACAGCCCAATTACCTCATAGTTGCTGTCAGTTTCCAGCTTGGCACAAAATCTCTTTCTGCAGTTCTCACCTGCAATATGGCTTATCTGATTTTTCCGAGATATAGTTAGGTTCCAGGAAAGCAATTAAGCTCATTTCCAAAGCACGAGCATTATACCAGGCCTGTGGACAGTCAACAGTTCATCAGACCACAAAAGGCCTGAAGAAAAGACAACACAACAGTGCATCTCATGTTTGTTCAGGTCCATACAAAGGAGATACACATTGTGTTTGTTTCCGAGCTGCCAATGTTACAGGGAGACATGTATGCAGTAGCAAGTCAGTCCTTCCCATCACAGATTAGGAGTGTTAGGCTTAATTCAGAAACTGAGGCTGAAATAAAACAAAATAGTGCACACAATGATTGAATGATAAATTAATAACTTGTTCACTTTTTCTCCCAATTCCATATTTTTCTATGTACATTCCCTCAATCATGTGCTGCAGTCTCTCTCATCAAGCACAATGGTTAAGTCATTTGTGATGGTTCTGTTCCTGCGAGTTGGCTGGTGGGAAGGAAGGGGGGCTGATTTTGAAGATGTTAATGTGAAGGTGGGAAGCGATCTGATTGCAAACACCCACTGAGTAACGGATTAAGTCAAAGAGAGACCAGACCTGTGGGCCAAAGCAGAGAAAGAAAAAGTGAGTGAGAAATCAAAAGCAGTGGTTCCATAGTCACTGGACATAATGCTTGACCACTCTCCAGACGGCTGAAAGCAAGGATCCTCATCCATACAAGTACAAGTGCGCATCTACAATCTTGCAACACTTAAAAAGAGGCTGAGTACAGAGGAGTATTGCACAACAATATGCCGTAAAAGAACAATTATCAAGGAACATCCCATCACCAGGTGCAATGTCTATTCAACAACCCCATAGGAAAATGTCCCCATCTGACCTTCAATACCATCAGCCACATCAGCAGTGCAGAGCTGCAGGCAGGATATTAGAGGGCCTCTATCATAGCTTAACCTAAGGCATGCTCATTACTAGTTTCTGTCAGACTAGAGGCTGCATTTTCATGGAGCTGCTGGCTGTGTTGTGTCTTTAAGAAGGTGCAGTCAACAGAAAACTTGCTCAGGGGCTCACTGTTCAATTCTAGCTCAACAACTGCTGAAGTAAATGGTCTTTGTTGTCAGACCAGCTGGTCATCGCCAGGCACTGTCCAATCAACCATCAACCCTATCCCATTTCCGAATGAGACTGCAGGAAGACCCAATGCCTTAGGTGGAGTTGTGCTGGGGACTTTGATCAATATGCTCCAGGCTCTTTATTTCTCTTGTAGTTTAATGTTTCCCTATTTTATATTGGTATCAATTTAGTATATATTAATCAAGGGCAATTATTGTTATGTTTTATGGGGAAGGGGCAGGGAACAGACTCAATGGATCAAATGGTTTCCTCTGTGCTGTATTGTTCTATGACTGCTTCAAATGCAGAATGAGATGCTTTGCCAAGTTAGGGTCAGTCTGACGGATGGCAGTATCATGAGTTCTATTATCCATAGCACTAGTTGTTGGTTGTTCTAGTGGCACATGCTGGATGGTGACGCTGCCTGTCACTCAATTAAGATGATGTGACTGTACAATAAGGGAAGAAAAGCCTAAGGCATTCTGGGATCTACTAATTTGCAGTAGCATGGAAATTCGAAACACCCTTCACAGCATCCTGAATATTCCTTATATTAGACATCCTCAAATCATGAATCCCTATTCTTTGAATGAAAGTAAGCATCGGCCAAACCGCTTAGTGGGCCTGTGAGAGAAGTATATGGGCCCAGATTCAACACACAAATCAAAATCAAATCCAGATCTTCAGGTCACAGTGGTAAGCACAGTTTTAAAGTTTAAGTCAGAATCTGGCTGTCTATAACTGAAGGAATGCTTACGAGATATCCCACTGACAGATTCCCGACTCAATGCTCATTGGTTCTCCTATTCTCTCCAAATGACCCTCACCATGATGACTTTTCACAACTTTGCTTTGGATGATCCTTTTCTCAAACTTCACATTTGAGTCCCAGACAGCACAGTCCCTCCAAATCATAGCCTTGATAATATTTTTCTCAAGATGTCTACTCATTCCTATGCTGTGCAATGGCATGTGTCATTGCTATCTGAGCTCTAACAACCAGGACAACACCATATCACAAGATCACCAGACAGACTTCAATAGCAAACTTTATATCCACTGTGGAAAATTGCAAGAGGGATGAAAATCGAGTTAAACCCGACAAATCAGTGGTACCGATTTGAATCTGTAGCCAGTTTAGACGCATCTGAAAGTGAGAAACACTGATTTAGGCAAGAGGCTCTGCTCACTTACCAAAGCAATCCAGAGCACCAAGTACTCGTTTATAAAACTGTTGAAGTACTGGTCCAAGAAGAGGAGCCCCGGCCCAACGAAAGCTGTGTCCTGCAAGTGCATCTCACTTTTTGTCATATGAGCTACCTGAAATCAGAAACGAGAATCTATTCACTGGATCTGCAGCAGCTTTAAAATAACATGCTGGTCCAACACTGGTAGTGCAATATTATGAGATTAATAACATGTATTTGCACTGAGGCATTCATTATCTTGACTGGTCTGAGACACCACTGTACAAAATAAAATTTGTACGCAGGAAGCTGTCACAATGAGATAATGAATACCATCTGATTTTAGTAATGCTGCCTGAGGGATAAATATCAATCAGGACATTGGAAGAAGACCCAACTCTTTGAAGTAGGTTCCGTGTGATCTTTAAATTCACTGGAGAGCTGAAATTCAGCTGCCCAGAAAGTACTGCACTACAGTGTCAGCCTGGATTAAACGATTAAGCCTCTGGGTAGAACTTGAACCCATAATCTTTTGATTTAAATGAGATTGCTATCAAATGAGATGCTGTTGACACATTCATAAATTAAGCTCAATTTGTTCAGTATCAGACAACTGCAATGGGTTGAGGGATTCTTTACCAAAAAGAAAGTTTATAAGATGTTGGGTGGGGCAGGGGGAAGGGACTAATGAAGATATGTCAACTGCCTTATAGTAGTACAATAGCTGCCCACGTGCAGACTACCAGAAAGCATTATAATGCTTCAGCGATTACTTAAGATTGCCTCCTTGAACATCGGTTCTTTTGATCAGGCAGACTGAGGCCTTGCCACCAATACCGAGGGGTTAGGATGTATGTGGGTGGAAGACAGTAATCGTCTCCAGTGAAGAGTACATACCACTAATTTATTGGTTATTTTTGCAGAGACGAAGCCAAACGCAAGGATGTACAGGCAGGGATTATTCTCAAAGAGCCGGCTGGTAGATTTCTTGTAGATCATCAATGCCAGTGTTATAACTGCCCCTATGTGCAGGAATGGTGACAGCACACTTGTACCCTGTGATGTACAATGATACATTACTAACAGTGTCAGTCATTGCATATCTTATATAAATACCCATGCAGAGAGCAGATTCAAGTGTTCGGTGCACAAGATGTACTCCAATCAGACATCCCACTCAGTCTGCAGAGACCACCAAATAGCTGCAGTAAAACATGACTACGGAAATTAAATCATTGTGCAGTCAGAAAGTTTGATCAGACCACTTCCAAACGTCCATTAACTTTGTAATCCCCAGCACTTTATGGCCCTCTGTCACTACCCCCTCATAACTGTACAGCTCTATCCATTTTACTTCCTTTTACTTCAGGCTTTTTCTCCAGTATGATTCTGTAACGTGAACAGGTAGAACAGCAGCAAAAATGTGGCATTTTGCACCTCCTTTATCCTGGTCATGCTTTGGTCTTACAATGCCACTTTTCCAAGCTTAGTGTGTTCTTCAGAATGGGTTTGAGAAGGCTACATGGTCTTGTGGCCCTGACTCTTTCAGGACCTGATGCAGATCATAATCAACATTGTAGGCTTGCAGGGAACACTGGAACTTTATAAATATATATTCTTTAATTAATCTGCTCAGTGATGTTATTACACACCTCTAGAGCAATGGGACTGAACTCAGGCAGCCTGCTTCAGAGGTAGGGACGCTACCACAGCACCATAAGCATACAAGGCCCGGATTTGAGTCTCACCTGCTCCAAAGGTATGCATCTCTGAACTGGTTGATTAGAAAATATCCATGGAGCAGCTGCTCAGTATTCCTACGGAGACCGTCAGAATCAGCTGGCAACTCTGTCTGTTCTCACCTTCTGATTGATGCAACTCATTAATATCTTCTTGAATTCTCCTCCTTCTCTCATTTCTGTCATAGAAACAGAAATTAGGAGCAAGAGTAGGCCATTCAGCCTTCAAGCCTGCTCCACAATTCAATAAGATCATGGTGGATCCTCCATCTCAATGCCATATTCCCGCTGTCTCCTCATACCCCTCATGCCTTTAAAATCTAAACATCCTTTTTTGAATATAATCAGTGGCTTGGCGTCCACTGCCTTCTGTGGTGGAGAATTCCACATGTGGACTACCCCTTGAGTGAAAGATGTTTTCCTTACCAATTTATCCTGTATCCTGAGGGTGAGACACCCTTGGTTCTAGACTCCCCAGCCAGGGAAAACTTCTCAGTTGACCCCTGTTAGAACTTAATAGATTCCAATCAGATCCCCTCTCATTCTTCTAAACCCTTGTGTGTACAGGTCCAGTTAGACTAAACACTCCTCATAGGACAGTCCTGCCATCCCCAGTATCAGCCGAGTGAACCTCATACTGTACTCCCTCTATGGCAAGTATATCCTCTCTTAGGTAGGGTGACCAAAACTGTATGCAATTATCCCGGTGCAGTCTCAGCAATGCCCTGTATAACTGCAGAAAGACATCCCTACTTCTGAACTAAAATCCTCTTGCCATCATGGCCAATATACCATTTGCCTTTCTAATTGTTTGCTGCACCAGCCTTTCATTGACTGGTGTACAAGGACACTCAGATGCCTTTGTACATCCACACTTCCCAATAGATCACCGCTTAAAGTAATACTGTCTTTCCGTTGTCCGACACCAAAGTATATAACTTCATACTTAGCCATGTTGTACTGCATCTACCATGCGTTTGCCCACTTAACTCATCTAAATTACTAAAGAGCCTCTTTGCTTCTACCTCTCAATCCTGCCCAGTTTTGCGCCATCAACAAACTTGGAAACGTTACATTTGGTGGCCTCATATATGGACCTGAAGTACTGATCCTTGTCGTATTCCTCTAATCACTGCCTCTCACTCAGAAAAAGACCCTATTTACTTTCTTTCTGTCAACCAATTCCAACCTATGTTAACATATTGCTGCCTAGCTCATGTGCTTTGTCTCTTTCCACTAACCTCCTTTGAGGGACCTTATCAAAAGTCTTCTGAAAGTCCAAATACACCACTTGGCATCCACACCCTAACACAAACTTGCCTCTCCTTGAATGTCTTCTGATTTGTCATCAGTCTGTTGGGATGCTATGTCAGCTCGCCTACTTACACATCACCCCCATGCTGGTCTGATGCCCTTTTCCCTTCTTACAACCACCCCCTCCTCCTCCTCCTCCACACACACACACACACACACACACACACACACACACACACACACACACCCCAACCCCCAAGTTGCCCTCAGAGCTGCAGCCACTTACAGCTATGGTGGAGCCGTTCTTGCCAACGCCGCCAGTGAAGATGACAGTGAAGTAGTTAGTGCAGGAGAAGATTCCACCTGCTACCACAAGGAGAGCAGGCACAATTTTAACTTGAATTTCCAGCACTGGGATCTTCTCAGGGGAAACAAAAAGATTAAAGAGAGAAAATAAGAATGACAAAAACATTTCTAGAATTCACTGCCCAAACTGCAATAGAGAATAATGAGAGAAGCCTCATCAGACCTCTCATGGCCCTTTCAACTGGAAGACTGAACAGTTTCTGCCCCTGACAGAAGCCAAACTCTCCAGTTATTTCAGGACTTTTGTTTCCACTACTCAGAGTGCTCACTCTCGTTGAAGAAGACAATCTTGGATCACTCCTAAAGTTGTCTTTGACCGGTTAGAATCAGTGTTCCCTTATCTAATTGAGTAAAATCCATATTAGCCTTTTCAATATCCATATCTCCCTCTAAGAGCATTTCCTGAATGCCTCTTTTGCAGACTAAAATACCCAAGTTTCTCATGTTCATGACTGAACACCATCGAGGCCGTACCTGCTTTATATCCAAAACTGCAATGAAAGACAGGGATGTACCCTGAAGGAAATCTGCCAATAAACAAGAGTTACCCTATAAGGTCATAAGGCTTCAGACATCCACCATATACCACTGAACAGCACTGAGGTAGGAAAGTCAGGCGTCAGATCGGAGGAAGTCCAGGTGCAGAACTAGACTATTGAAGTTCATTAACTGAACAGAACCCTGGTTATTCCCAGTTATAACATTTAATTGATGGTTGTTGTAATCAGAATAGATCAGTGAATGCACCTTAGCAATCAATTCAGAACTAGGAATTGGCAGCAAAGGGCATCTGATACTTATGGCGTTGTTCCAGTAGTGACTCAGGTGTGTAGGATAAATGGCACAAATCACTGAGTACTACTCTACCCAGGATTTTAGAGCCTAGAATGATGCTGATTGCACAATCAATGCAGCAACTCAGGCAGGGCCAAAATCCAGAACATGCCTCTTTGGACAGTGAGAGTCTAACAGATGGGATTGTAGGTGCTGACCCCACAGTCCACTTTACCCCCACAGACAACAAAGGCACAAGGTCACACACAGAAGAAAACCTTATTGTGTTCAATCAATAAATAAATTGGCTTATTTTCCTTAGCTTTCTCAATGAAATGCCTCCTTCACAAATCAATTCCAATGATGCCACTCCTGTTTCAGGAACTCTCCAAATCTTTGACCTTTAACAGAAGTTAAGTAGTCAGCTGTAGTATTCTTTACTCTAAGCGAAGCTCAGACCTACCAACCAGGCGTTATTAAGCCTGGGTCAAAGCTTTCTTGATCTGCAGTTCCACAATAAGCCCCTGATAGAGGTAAAGGAACAAAACAGGACAAAGACTTGTATTTTGTATGAGTGCTCAACATACTCAATGTTACCCATTTGATGATCTCAGGTGAGAAACACAGACTTCTAACAAATCGATCTCTACAAGACAATATGTCTCAGTTATGGAACATTATCATAGAGGTCTCTGACCCGTATGAGCTATGCAGGGATAAGACAGATCTCGAATGTTTTACTCAAAGTGAACATTTGTTGGGTACTGTGTGTATTTTCAGAGTTAGGCCTCTCACCAAAGATACAATTGTTAACCCAGAAATAACAGGAATTTGTCTACTGCGGATTGCTCAACTGAGAAAAACGCAAGGACTCAGAGCATAGGAACAAATGATGAGGCCGTTCAACCCTAAAATCTATTCCACCCTTCAAAGAGGAATGTTGAATATTGTCCAATCATCAGCAAACATATCCACGTTTGACCTTATGATGGAGGCAAGGTCAATGAAGCTGTGGCTGGGGTGACACTAAGTCCTTTCTCTTAACACCACCTGTGTAACTCCATCAAATTATCTGATAACACACTGGGAAGTACCTTGGAGCATTTTAAATGCATTTTGTAAAGGCAAACTGTTTATATTTTCAGAGTTATACTGGGCAGAGTTAGAGTGATTGTGTACAATGGGAGACTTCAATCCCACAGCACTCCAGTACTATCACCATTTCCACTGTCAGCTCCATGACTGGCTTGCTGAAGCCATTAAACATCTGTAGTTTTACCTTAGGCTGACTCGGGTCTAAGGATCATTCTCACCCCCTTTTAATGGGCTTAATACAGAGATTACAACTGTACCTTTACCACATTGAACAGTATTTAGTTCCTTTATGGAAAGTAAACAGTCCCACTGGGACCACAGGCCATCCTAGATCAGGACCCTAGCCAGAAGAACGAGCTGGTCTCTAATTTTTCAGCTCCCTTGGTTTGCCCCACTAGGAATAGGATACAGTGGCACACTGCTCAATGCCTTGAAGGAACTGTGCAGAGTTTGACAAACTGTCCATAGAGCACACCGTGCTTAAAATGGAGCACATTAAAACAAAATCACAATGTATTACTATATTTAAGTGAATCCAGGACATGTGTCTTAAATAAAACCCCACTAAATGTAGCTGAATACTCGAGCAGGAATCTGGAAGCAAATTTCCATCATTAACGAAAGGAGACAATTAATCAAGTATTAGAGGGGAAACAGCAGCTTCTCAATACTTCAGTTTGTGCCCTTTCCATTCTCTGTAGGAGAAAGAGTAGGACAGTCCCTGGATAGGACAAGCTCCTCCGTCCCCAGTAACTCCACAAGTAACCAGGGTCAGAATTCAATTATGTTATTAATTACCATAGATTCCCAAAACGCAGTTCCTCCACTCGCAGCCAATAAAAACAGGATAATTATGAAGATTTGCACTTCAGTCACATCAATTCTGATTGGGTGAGAAAGCAGAAATCAGTATTAGAGCCACTCACTGATAGTTAGCACATTCTCAAGCAATGCAACTGCGGTTCAATCATGCACCAAAGTAGCAGAGTAACTCATTCCACTAGACCCCTTTTGCACTGTCTCTAATGCTCCATTTTCTCAGAACACCATTTGCAATTTATTGGTGTAAGTTTCTTTGACCACAAACAGCAGGTCATCCCCTGAAGAGGAGGCAATCTTCAGGACGTTACTCAAACTCAGCTTGGGGTAGTGACAGCAATCTTTAAATTTTTAGGCTGAGGTCAGGAGTTTCCATTATTTTAATTCATTCACAGATTGAGAGTAGCACCAAGGCATCATTTATTGCCCATCCCTAGTTGGGCTTGAGAAGGTGGTGGTGAGCCATCTTCTTGAACTGCTACAGTCTACCTGCTGTAGGTAGGCTCACAATGCCATTAGGAAGGGAGTTCCAGGATTTTGACCCAGCAACATGATATATTTCCAGATTGATGAGTGGCTTGGAGGGGAATGTACAGGTGATGGTGTTTCCATGTATCTACTGCCCTTGTGTTTCCAGATGGGAGTGGTCATGGCTTTGGAAGGTATTGTCTAAGGAGCCTTGGTGAACTTTTACAATGCATTTTGGAGATGCTACACACTGCTGCTAGTGAGTGTAGGTGGTGGAGGGAGTTGATGTTTGTAGATATGGTTCCAATCAAGCAGGCTGTTTTGTCCTCATTGGTGTCAAGCTTCTTGAGTGTTGGAGTTACATTCATTTAAGCAAGTGGGGAGTATTCCAACATACTCCTGACTTATGCCTTGTGGATGGTGAACAAGGAGTTGGGATGTGAGTTACTTGTTGCAAGATTCCTAACCTCTGATCTGCTCTCATAGTTGCTATTTGTATGGCTAGTCGAGTTCAATTCCTGGTAACACCCAGGATGTTGATAGTGAGGGATTCAGAGATGATGCCATTGTAAGTCATGGGCAGTAGTTCGATTCTGTCTTGTTGGAGATGGTCATTAATGCCACACAAGTGTCAGGCAATGTTACTTGCCACTTGTTAGCCCAAACCTGGATACCGTCCAGGTCTTGCTGCATTTGGATATTGACTGTTTCACTATCTGAAGAGTCAAGAATGATGCTGAAAATTGTGCAATCGTCAGCAAACATCCCCGCTCTAACCTTATGATGGAAAGAAGATCATTGATGAAGCAGGTGATGATGATTGGGCCTCAGACACTACACTGAGGAACACCTAGAGCTGAGATGACTGACCTCCAATAACCACAACTAACTTACTTTCTGCCAGGTATGACTGCAACTAGTGCAGACCTCACCCCCGAATTCAGTTCTCATTGACTCCAGTTTTGCTAGGACCCCTTGATGACTCATTCGGTCAAATGCAGCCTTGCTGACAAGGGCAGTCACTTTCACCTCACTTCTAGAATTCAGCTCTTTTCTCCATATTTAAAATCAAGGCTGTACTGAGGTCAGGAATTTAGTTTCTTAGGCATAATCCAAACGGAATTTCAGTGAACAGGCTATTGCTAAGTAAATGCTGCTTGATCACACTGTTGACAAAAGCGTCCATCACTTTACTCATGAACAGGTTTCATGACAATCGACTAGACTTTTAATTCCAGATTTTATTAAATTCGAATTCCACCACCTGCCATGGTGGGATTTGAACTCACAGCCCCTGAACATTAATGGGGTCTCTCGATTACTAATCTAGTGACAATATTACTAAGCCATCATCTCCCTTTCTCCTGATGCCTTCCAGTTGACTAGATTGTAACTGTGATGGTGACTTCTGGTGAGGCAGGTTACATCAGACTCTGCTGGAGCTGTAAGCTGCTGTCACTGAAAATGTGGCGATGCTCACCACTTTGCAGACAATATCCCAACAAGGATCATCACTACCAGCAGCAATGAAAGGAAGCAAGGGTTGAGTATAAAAACCATCCATCATAACTCTAATGCTACCATTTAAATAGTCTAGAATTTAGTAGGCTGCAGGGTGCCTATCTCCCCTCTGCACAAATAGCAATGAGAATTTAAGATGGTGCTTCACATCAAGCAGGCAATTTGAAGAATTGTGCAGTTTTATGGAAAGTGCATGGGTTTTCTGCAATGGAGACTTTGTAACACTTTCAATGATTAATTATCAATGGTGCGTTGTCACAAGATAGAAGCCTAGGGGCTCTACTTGGCTAAAGTGCATGATAGAGCGGCAGTCTGATTGGTTACAGTCCACATGCAGTCACCCAGAAGGCTGGTGTTTACCATAATATTCCATAGTGAAGGCCCCATAATCACTGTCACAACTTGTGTAACTACAACACAGAGCTGAGCTTCTGTGACATCGAATCTGTCAGAGAATAATTATGGAACAATGAAATACTATAAACAGGACAAAAAAACAGAGCAAGTTACAAAGAGGTACTGTCTGAGAATAACTTCGCTCAGTGGAACAGTTCTCCAAGACAGGCTGGATTCAGAGGGGCCCAGCTGCGAAGTTGAATATTCAAGGGACAACACTGGCTGCAGCTAATAGCTCCACCAGACACGGAATCCAAAACAACGGCATTGGAACTTAAACCTATGTTCTTTTGAAATAAAGAAAAGTAGGCATCAGATCACCTTGTGCCTGGTTACTAGTTAAAAATTACACACATGCTGAAGCTCACGCGTATTTGTACATATTCATCACCTAAAGATCAGTGAACAACTGATTTTTTACATACCTGCACAAAGGTGGAAAAGTAAGTGAGATAATATTACTTATGTATGCAGCACAGCAACTGGCCATTTGGCTCAATCACGCTCCACTCAACCTCCTTGTGCATTCACACAGGGCACAACAGGGACAGTGTTCTTGTTGATCCGGATTTCCACCCTTGTCTAAGGTGCTGTGCTTCATCATCTCCCCATTGCCTCTTTTAATACTCACATTCCAAAGCGCAGTGTCCCAGAAACATATGTCTGCCAATGTGCACAGTAGAACATGAAGACCCCAGCAAAGCAGCAGAAGAACATCCAATCTGGGTTTGTTCCCAGCTGCACAGCGATGCAGATCCCCAGGACCACAAAGACTGCAGAAAGGAAATAAGCAAAGTTTACTTCAGCAGAAATCATGGACCACAGAGAATCAGATATACCTTCAGCACCTGGAGATGGTCCAGCAAAATGCTCCTCAGATTAAACTAAGGTCTGTCCAGGAGCAGCAAGAAATAACGTCATGCCTTCCAGCCCATCTAATTAGTGCTGTTCAGTTCGGCCACTGGGGTTAGCTCAATGAATGTGAAGATATCAAGCATGTTCTTTCCTGACCCGATCTTCACCCACCAACGTTAAACACTCAGTGAAAGGAACAGCCGGAGCTCTTGATGTGGCACACTAGTGTGCTTCCCAGTAGGAATGATTTGAAGAGGTTGGATAAAGATGGCAATATAGCAAGAAGATGTAGAGTATCCATTAAACAGGGCTGATTCAGTAGGCTTGAAGTTAGGCATTTCAGTCCACAATTAAAAATACAGAAAAATGAAAAGAACACAGCATTTACACTAAGGCATTAGAGATTAAGGTTATATCAGGGATAAACAGAAAAAAGGCTAGGATCATTTCTCTCTCTAACTACACATAGCATTCACTACAAATAAGATGAACAAATAACAAACATTGAAATTAAATGGTTTGACCAATAGACATCACAGAGTAAAGTTTCCAAAGTGATCAAGGTTGAACACTAAATATTCCAACTAACTTCAGTTGGGCAAAATGAAAGGAAATTGCTCTAATAAATTATATTATAAAGACAGTTGAAAGATCAAAAAGTAATATCAGTTTGGGCAGAGCCTCACCTCAGCAATGAGATATTGGTGGGAGCTGTTTACTAGTTCCCTAATAGTACTTGTACTGGAGGGCAGAGCATAAAACTCAGTAAATTAGAGGCAATAAAAGTAATCATGGGGATTTTAATCATTAAGCACATAGATAAAATAAATCTGTTTCATTGTTGCACTGAGATGAGTTAATGGGATGTGCACAAGATGGTTTTCTTGATCAGCATATGAAGGAACCACTGAGTGAATATGGGATCTGGCAATGAGAAAGGTTTAATTAGTAACCTTGCAATAAAGGGGGAAATGGTGACAGTAATAGCATCACTGGATACTGCAACAGTTTACAAACAATGAAATACAATGTGGCAAAGTGTAAGTTACCCATACTGGCAGCAAAATAATGAAGTAGAATAACTTTTTAATAGCTGGAGACAAACGAGATATGCAGGCACAGCAAGCAACTAGGAAGGTGAATGGTTCACTTTTGTTATAAATGAACTGGAGTGAAGAAATTATACACTGAATTGGTGAGGCTACTCCTGGATTAGCGTGTGCTGTTTTGATTTCTATATAAGGAAGAACATATTTGCTCCAGAGGGAGCATAACCAAAGTTCACTTGACTGACTCCTGATATGAGGGGATTGTCCAATTAGGAGCGATTCTGTTGACTGGGTTTATATTCCCTCGAATTTACAAAGATGAAAGGAATACTAAACGAGCAACGGGTAACCCCCCCTACCCAAGGCTGACTTGTACCAGACACTGGTCCCCTACTTGGCTTGACACCGGTCCAGATCTGACCAGAGCTCAATTTGGTCATTTCAAAATTATCAGAATTTCTCCAATCTTTTATCTATAGCAGTAGAATAAAAAGTTATTTTGGCTGTGTCAACCATCGCACTGGTTAGGCATGTTGATCATTGACTCCACGGCTCTTTGAGTCTCAGCCCTGACTATTTCAATATTGTGCTGCATGGCTGGTCCTTCCATTCTTCTGCTCGTCCACTTTGGTACAATCCGTAATTTTGACTAAAAGACCCAAGGCTTTGGGTCAAAATCCTGGAATTCCCTCCTTATTAGCTTTGTGGGTCTACCCAAGATAGGTGGTAATACTGGTTAAAGAGAATATTGCAATGCTAGAGAAAGAGAATACCCCAGAGAGAACTGATTTGACTAGTGCTAAGGAAAAAGTAATATGGATAGGCCACCAACTAATATGCAAGGAAATGACAGACCTGCAAACATTGTAGTGTTGTCATAATCAAGAACTCTAATTAACTAAATATAGACAGGGAATGCAAAAGGGGCAACAGGTGGAAAGTATTCCTAGATTCTGTTCAGGAGAATTTTCCACAACAGTTTGTGTCAAATCCAATGCGAAAGGAGGCATTCCTAGACTTGGTTCTTGGGAATAAGATTGGCCAATGAGATCAAGTATCAATGGGGGAACATTTAGGAGACAGAGATCATTGTGCCATAAGATTTGGGATAATGGCAGAAAGAACATTGAATAATTAAGTAAGTGTGCTGACTGGGACAAGAACAGAGCTCGATTGGAATCATTATCAGTACCCTAGTATTTTGCAGATAATGTAGTGGTGATCTAGTCATTGGTGCGTGGGAGACAATTTCACAGTTTGTAGATGACACAAAACTTGTAAGCATTGTAAACTGGGAGGACGAGAGTTTCGAACTAAAGAATATTGACAAGTTAGCTGATTGGGCATTCAATGTGGAGAAGTGTGAAGTGATACATTTTGGTAGAAAACAAATTTGAGAGTGTGTAAAATAAGAGCCACACCACAGGGAACGCGGTTGAAGTAGTATACAGTATTCTAGGTTTTATTAAGAAGGCTAAAGATTACAAGTGTATGAAGATCATGCTGAGCATGTGTAGGATATTAGTTTTACATCAATTGGAGTACTGCACAGAGTTATGCACAACACTCTTCTGGATGTGAATGCATTGGACAGAATGCAGAAGGTGTCAATAATGGTTCCAGGGATGAGAAACTTCAGTTGTGAAGATAGACTGGAGAAGTTGAGACTGTTTTTCTTGGAGTGGAGATGGCAGAGAGGAGATCTGATGGAAGTTTGGAAGATAGGAGTACTGTGTACAGGCCACCATATGTACAGGCCACCATATGTACAGGACATTAATACATTGGAAACAATACAGTGTGGAGCCAAAGGAACACAGCAGGCCAGGCAGCATCACAGGAGCAGGAAAGTTGACATCTTCAGAAGAAGGTCCCGACCTGAAGTGTCAACTTTCCTGCTCCTCTGATGGTACCTGGCCTGTGTTCCTCCGGCTCCACACTGTATTGTCTTTGACTCCAGCACCTGCAGTTCTTGCTATCTCCATTAATACCATGAAAGCTGTTCAGAGAAGATTTACTAGACTAACACTTGGAATGAACAGATTTCTGTGAGAAAATTCCTGTATCCTTGAGTTTAGATAAGTCAGAGGTGACTTAATTGAAACATACATGACCCTGAGGGGATTACCTAGGTGGATGTGGATAGGATGATCTCTCTCATGGGAGAATCTAAAACCGTGGGTCATAGTTTAAATGGGTCACCCATTTAAGACAGAGATGAAGAAAAAAAAAATCTGAGCGTTGAGGGACTTTGGAATTCCCTTTCTCAAAGGGTTGTAAATGTAGAGTCTTTAAATATTTTAAAGCAGAGTTAGACAAATTCTTTATGACCAAGAGAACAAAAGATTATTTGGGGTATGCAGGAATGTAGAGCATAGACTAAAATCAGATCAGTCATGATCTTATTGAATGGCAGAGCAGACTCAAAAGGCCAAGTGGTCTACTCTTTGTCCTTGTTCATATGCTCATTAAGTTTTTAAAATCATGAAGGTTCTGGACAGAGTCAATAGGGAGAAACTGCTTCCACTCTTAAAAGCTTCAAGAAATGAGAAGGCGCAGTTTTCAAGTAATTTGCAAAGGAAGTAATAATGTTGAGAGAGGAAAGCTTTGCACACTGAGATTAGTTAGGGTTTCGGAATCCACTGCCTAGAGGCAGTTTCAATTGAGGTATTTAAAAGAACATCTGTCTCTATTCAAATAATCATCGACCTGCAAGGATACTGGGTAAAGACTGGAGAATGGCACCAAGTCAAAATGCTCCAAGAGCTGGTGCAGGCATGATGAGCCAAATGGCCTCATTCTGCATTGTAACAACTCTGTCATTTTTAATTCTTTGTAATTCTGTCAGTACACTAGATAGCATGGTCGATCCTGTTTGGCACTTGTCTGGAATTTCCATGTCCACTGTTTGGGAAAGACATAGTTCACAGCTTCACTTTTGAATGCAAGTAAGTAATTATTTCAAGTGTTTGCCATCTTGTTCCTGTCCAGTGTATAACTGTATTGCTTGTGAGTTTGACGACTTCTACTACTTCTCTTTTGCAGAGACAGTTTATTCCTCTGTTTATCCCACACTGTTAAACTTTTCCCAAGATTTTGTGTTCCTTCCTCTAATCATTAATGTCTGTTTCTACATTTTCTCACATTCATGCCAAGCAAGTTGAAGAGACAGGTCAGGCTGGAACAGGACAGGAGCAAGGAATGCCTGTTGAATTAAATTGTAACTATTTCAATGCAAGAGGTCTGACAAGTAAGGACGATGAACTCAGGGCGTGGATAGGTACATGGGACTGGGATACTATAGCCATTACAGAAAAATGGCTAAGGGAGGGACATGACTGACAGCTTAATGTGTCAGGGTACAGGTTCTTTTGGCGGGACAGAGGTAGAGGAAAGAGGGGAGGGGGAGTTGCATTTTTGATTAAGGGGAGTATCACAGCAGTAGTCAGAGATGAAATAACTGAGGGATCATTCAGCAGGGCTTTGTGGGTGGAGCTAAGAAACAAGAAGGGGTTGGTGACGTTATTGGGGTTGTACTATAGGCCCCCAAATAGTCAACGGGAATTAGAGGAACAACTATGTGGGGAGACTTGCAAGAGCAATAGGGTTGTCATAGTGGAGGATTTTAATTTTCTTAACATAAACCAGGACTGCCATAGTGTTAAGGGTTTAGATGGGGTGGAATTTGTTAAATGTGTTCAGGAAAAGTTTCCTCAAGCAGCATATAGAGGGTCCTACTCGGGAGAGGGGTAAAACCCGACTTACTGTTGGGAAATAGGACAGGACAGGTGACTGAGGTGGCAGTGAGGTAGCACTTTGGGACCAGTGACCATAAATCTATAAATTTTAAAATAGTTACAGAGAGGGACAAAACCAGTCCACAGGTTCAAGTTCTAAATTGGGGTAAGGTGAATTTTGGTAGCATTAGACAGGAGCTTGTAGGGGCTGATTAGAGTTGTTTGTTTGTGGGCAAAGGGATCTCTGCCAAGTGGAAGGCCTTTAAAAGTATCACAACTAGAGTTCAAGGTCTATACGTTCCTGTGAGGGTAAAGGGCAATGTTGGCAGGAGTAGGGAACCCTGGATGACAAGAGATATTGAGGTATTGACCAGAAAAAAGGAGGCATGGCTCAAGTACAGGCAGCTGGGATCAAGGGAATCCCTGAAGGTATATAGGGGACACAGGAGTTTACTGAAGGAGGAATCAGGAGGGTGAAAAGGGAGCACGATATAGCTTTGGCTGAGAAGATTAGGGTGAATCCAAAGAGATTCTTTAAGTATATTAAAGGAAAAAGAATAACGAGAAGGAGAGAAAGGACCCCTCAAAGACATGTACGTATGGAACTGCAGGAAATGGGCAAGGTCCTGAATGAATATTTTTCCTCTGCGTTTACCATGGAGAAAGACATGAAGACTTGGGAATTTGAGGAAGTTAGTGATGATATCTTGGGAACAGTCCATATCATAGTGGAGGTTGTGTTGGAAGTATTAGAATGTACAAAGGTGGATAAATCTCCTGGTCCTGACCAGGTATATCCAAGAACCCTGCATGAGGCTACAGAAGAAACTGTGGAGACCCTGGCTCATTCATTTGCATCATTAAGCATGGGTATGGTCCCGGAAGACTGGAGGGTAGCGAATGTTGTGCCCTTATTCAAGGACAGCTACAAAACAAAACCTAGGAATTATAGACCAGTGAGCCTAACATCTGTGGTAGGTAAGTTACTTGAGAAGATTCGGAGGGATAAGATATACATGCATTTGGGAAGACAGGGTTTGTTTAGTAGTAGTCAGCATGGCTTTGTGTGTAGGAGATCATGTCTCACAAATTTGTTAGAATTCTTTGAAGTAGTGACCAGGAAGGTTGATGAGGCCAAGGCAGTAGACACAGTCTATATGGATTTCAGTAAGGCTTTTGATAAAGTTCCACATGGTAGGCTGCTGTGTAAGGTTAGATCGCATGAAATCTAGGGAGAGCTAGCAAATTGAATACACAGTTGGCTTGATGGTACGAAGCAAAGAGGAATACTGGAAGGATGCTTGTCGGACTGGAGGCCTGTGACTAATGGTGTGCTTCAGGGGTCGGTGCTGGGCCCGTTGCTGTTTGTTATCTATATCAATGATTTGGATGAGAATGTACAAGGCATAATTAGTAAGTTTGCAAATGACACTAAAATAGGTGGTATCGTGGACAGTGGGGAAGGTTGACAGAAATTGCAGCAGGATCTTGATCAGCTAGGGAAGTGGGCCAAGAAATGGCAAATGGAGTTTAATACAACTGTGAGGTGTTGCACTTTGGAAAGTCAAATCAAGATAGGAGTTTTGTGGTAAATGGTAGGGCCTTGAGGAGTGTAGTGGAATGGAGGGACTTTGGAGCTCAGGTGCATGGTTCTCTGAAAGTGGAGTCACAGGGCAGTGAAGGCGGCTTTTGGCACACTGGCCTTCATCAGTCAGGGCATTGAGTATAGACGTTGGGAAATTATGTTGCAGTTGTACAGGGCGTTGGTGAGGCCAGACTTGGAGTATGGTGATCAGTTTTGTTCACCTTGCTATAGAAAGGATGTTATTAAACTGGAAAGAATGCAGAGGAGATTTACAAGGATGTTGCCAGGATTCAAGAGACTGAGTTATAGGGAGAGGTTGGACAAGCTAAGACTTTTTTCTTTAGAGTGTAGGAGACGGGGGGGGGCGGATTTTTTTTTTTCCTCTTTATTCATTCACAGGATGAAGGCGTCACTGGCTAGGCAGCATTTATTGCCCATCCCTAATTGCCCAGAGGCCTGTTAAGAGTCAATCACATTGCTGTGGGTCTGGAGTCACATGTAGTCCAGACCAGGTAAGGATGGCAGTTTTTTTTCCCTTAAGGGACATTAGTGAACCAGATGGGTTCACTAATCGACAATGGATTCATGGTCATCTTTAGGTTCCTAATTCCAGATATTTATTGAATTCAAATTCCACCATCTGCCCTGGTGGGATTCAAACCCATGTCCCCAGAATGTTATCCGGGTCTCTGGATTAACAGTCCAGCGATAATACCATTAGGCCATTGCCTCCCCATGACAGGCACAGATAGGGTGAATGCACTCAGTCTTTTTCCCAGGGTTTGGGAATCGAGGACTGGAGGGCATCAGTTTAAGGTAAGAGGAGAAAGAATACATGGAAACCCGAGGGGCAACTTTTTTTTAAACACAGATGGTGGTACACATATGGAAGGAGCTGTCAGCAGAAGTGGTTGAGGCGGATACGTTAACAACATTTAAAAGGCATTTGGACTATTACATGAATAGGGAAGCTTTAGAAGGATATGGGCTAAGTGCAGGGAAACAGGGTTAGCGTGGATGGATATTTGGTTGGCATGGACCAGTTTGGGCTGAAGGGCCTGTCTCCTTGCTGTAGGCCTCTGATTCTATCCCAATAAACAAGATTTTCTTCTCTATTGTGTTTAATTTGTTTTCTCTGAACTCATTAATTAGTAACATCTATGCAATCTAGATTCTTAGCATTATTCCTTCAATAACTTTATTTATATCCTCTAGTTATATAGTGGCAGATCCAGAATGATCGAGATCCTTCTAAATTTCTTCTAGCATCTGGTGCACATATACCAGCCAGGTCTCTCAGCTCCTGTGTCTCTTTAGAATTGTAGCCATTACTTTATTGGTCTTCTTCATTTTTCATATTAAATGTTTCACTTCACACCTCCTTGCATTAAATTTCATCTGCCAGTGTCTACTCATTTGATCAGTCCATGCCCCCTTAAAGTCTATCACTATTCTCCTCTCAGTTTCCTGTATCACTAGTCTCGATCCCTAGGGAAACCTTCCTCCAGTCTGAAAAACAACTGTCACTACTACTGCTTCCTGTCACTCATCCAACTTCATACTCATGCCATCTACTCCCATTCCAATTCTGGGCCTGCACTGCTTTCGAAAGACACTGGTTACAATAGCCTGACTAATCTTACAAGATAGGTTTCTTTATATTCAGCCGATAAAGTAAGTGAGTTCCTACCTGTAGAAAGTGAATCACAGCCATGGTCAAACAATTCTCCAAGAGGACTACTGCTATTGGTTCTTCTCGCCTGCTTCCCATCTATAGCATCAAGGGACTGGTAGATGAAAAGACCCAAAGCACAGGCCAAGTATGCCCACAGAGGTGCCTGCAGAATACAAAACACTGAATGAGCCCAAACGCAACAGCAGACACCCTCACACACCAGAGGCAGAATCAACAAATAAAAAAGCACAGACAACTGTGAAGTGGCATTGACTGAAATCACTTTGTATACTGCAAATAACACAGCGGATCACAATAGCACCATGTAGAGAAAAAGTCAGTTATTATGATAGCAATCATTACCACATTGGCTTTCAAGCACATTGGGATGTGTCATGGTCCTGAAAGATGCTACAGAAATGCAAGTCAGACTTTTATTAAATGTTTCCACTGAATAATACACTTGGGCTCTGATATGCCACCAGCTCAAAGGCTAACTCCATTTTTAAAGAAGGGTCCCGACCCGAAACATCAACTTTCCTGCTCCTCTGATGCTGCCTGGCCTGCTATGCTCCTCCAGTTCCACACTGTGTTATCTGACTCCAGCATTGGCAGTTCTTACTATCTCTGGAGAGGGTAATGGGTTACAGTTAGATGGTGTCCCCCATACCCTCAGAGCAATTCGCAGTGGCACTGTGAAACTCTGCGGTTCTGTTGGTGTGCGTGCGTGTGTTGGCAGCAGGGGTGGGGTGGGGGGGTCACATGCAGATAAGTCTATTATGCAGGACTCCAACCAACTCTAATATCAGAGAATATTCCCATAATGATGGGCAGGACTGCTGTTTATAACACAGGGGCAGAGGACATCCATCACTCCTGAGCCTTCTCAGCACCTAAAATTCAAGTCTAACGTTAATAACTAGAAACACCTGTCCATTGCAGGTAGGCTAACACAGTGATTGTCTGTCTGAACTTGTGAACCAGAGACACAAAATCACACCACTGGAGCCTTAATTTTAGCTAAACAAATCTGGAATAAAAAGCTATGAGAAATGGAGTTATTGTATTGTGGTACAAACCAAATCTGGCATTAGTCCATATGACAAGGCAAAAGCTATCAGAACCACCTTTGGCTACAATTATTAAATAGAAGATCTACCTCACCATCAACCCGAAGTCCACAGAACAAAAGCCAGTCTTCGGCCAATTCAATTCACACTACATTTGAAAGCATATCAGAACATGCTAGATATAGTGAGGCTATAAGTCCTGACAATATTCCAGCTACATTTGTGTGATTGAGATATTATTGGAACATAAATGCTCAGAATTAGTTGCACCCTTAGCTAAAATAGTCAGTTGGCATCAAGATGACAATAGGGAAGGGTGTCCTATCCACATGAAGAAGACAAATCAAATCCGGCCAATTACTGCCCTAGTCTACTCTCTATTATCTCAGCAAAGTGGTGAAAACTGGTTTGGACAACGCTATTAACCAGCACTTGCTCTCCCAACAACCTACTCACTGATGTTCAGTTTGGATTCTGCTCGGACTACTGGGTTCAGACTTCATTAGAGATTTAGTCGCAAAATGGACAAAAGAACACAATTCAAGAAGCAAGGTAAGACTGACCCTCTTTGAACAGCATTTGACATAAGAGCAGACATATGTCATTTGTCCCATGCATATGCCTTGCCATTTAATGAGACCATGGCTGATCTGTTAATCCTAACTCCAGGGTCCCGACTCGAAACGTCAACTTTCCTGCTCCTCTGATGCTGCCTGGCCTGCTGTGTTCCTCCAGCTCCACACTGTTATTTCCACTTTCTTTTCCCTTTTCAGGTGATTTAGGATTACGAGAATAATCAAAGATCTGTCTCTTAGCTTTGAAAACACTTGACGACATAGCCTCATCTGCCCTCAGCAGTAAAGAATTCCACATATTGACTACCTTCAAAATATTCCTCACCTGTCTTATACAAGTGACCCCTTACTGAGATTACTTACTTAGGACTCTCCCACAAGAGGAAACAACCTCTCAATATCTCTCGGAATGAAAAATGTTAGGAACAGAAGGAGGCCATTTGGCCCAGCGTGGCTCCACCAGCTCTTAAACAAGTGTCATTACTTACAGCCAACCTCCTGATTTTTCCCCATACTCTTGCACACTATTTCTAAACAAATAATCAACCAACTTGAATGTCACAACTGAACTTGCCCACACCATATTTCCAGGCAGTGCATTCCACATTCTAACTACTCACTGAGTGGGGGAAAAATCTTCATTTCACCCTTTCTTTTGCACATTACTTAAAATCTATGCCCTCTTGTTCCTTTTATGAACAGGAACAGTTTCTCCCTACCTACTTTATTCAGTCTGTTTGTAATTTTGAAAATTTCTCCTCTCCAAGGAGAACATCTCAACTTTTTCAATTTATCTTCATAGCTGAAGTTCCTCATTTCTAGAACCTTCCTTGTTAACCGCTTCTGCACTCTCTCCAACATGTTCACATCCTTCCTATAATGTGGCACCCACAACTGTATGCAATACTCCAACGGAGATCTAATTATTTTATAAAAATGTTCTGCTCTTGTACTCTATGTTCCTATTCATAAAGCTAAGGATACTGTATTCTTTACTTACTGCTCTCTCTCTCTCTCTCATAACTTTTAATAACCTGTGTACATATACACCCAGGTCTCTGTGCTCTTGAAACCCTTTTAGAACTGTACCCCCTATTTAATATTATTTTTCAATGTTCTTCCTACAAAATTGCATCACCTCTCACTTCTCTGCATTGAAACTCCTGCACGCTAATTTGATCAATATATATATTAGAAAAAGCAAGAGTCCCAACACCAACTCGTGGGGAACTTCATTACCAACTTTGCTCCAGCCAAAATATATCCACTGATAATTACTGTTTCTAATCACAGCTTTTTTTAAAATTCATCTTCCCTTTCAAGCCCCTTAAGAACACTACGTTTCAGTAAGATCTCCTCTCATTCTTTTAAACTCCAAGCCCAACCTACTCAGTCTCACCCTGTAAAACAATCCCTCCACACCTAGAATCTTATCTTGACTGCCTCAGATTAGGTGACCAAACTGTTTACTGTACTCAGCTGTGATATGACTAGTGCCTGGTCTAGTTTCAGCAAAACCGTCCTACCTTTACACTCTATTCCTTTGAAATAAAAGCTAACAGTCCATTTGCCTTGCTAATTAGCTGCTGAATTTGGGTGCTAGCTTTTTTGTGATTGATGCATGAATACCCCAAATCTGTCCCAATTTAAATAATAATCAGTTCCTCAATTCTTCCTGCCAAAGTGCATAACCTCACATCTGCCAAGTTTTTTGCCCTGTCATTTAACCTGTGCATTCTTCTGCAGACTCATCCTCACCACTTGTCTTCTCACCTACTTTTGCATCATTTGCAGACTTGGCAATAGTAGGTTGACTACCATAATCCAAGTCATTAACATATATTGTAATAAGTTGTAGCCCCAGCACTGATCCCTGTGGCACTCCACACATTATAAGCTATCATCCCGAAAATGCTGCCTTTATCCCAACCCTGTCTTTATTGGTTAGCCAATCCTCTATCCAAGCTAACATACTACCCTTAACACTATGTGTTCTTTCTTATTAAGTAGCCTTATGGGTGGTAACTTAGAGTGCCTTTTGGAAATCCAAATGTTACACTGACCTGTTCCTCTATCTCAAAGAACCGCAATAAACTTGTCAGACATGACCCCCCCTCACGAAGCCATGCAGACTCTGCTTCATTCCATTACGTATACTTTACGTCCTTCATAACATCAGATATTGGGGAAATGTCAAATTTGAGTTAACTGGCCCATGATTACCTGATTTTTGTATCTCATTTTTTGAATAAAGGTGTTACAGTGGCAGCTTTCCAATCCTTTAGAAATTTTCACATCTAAAGTTCTTGGAAAACCAATGCATCTATTATTTTTGCAGCCATTTCCTTTAAACTCAACCCAGGTCCAGGTGATGTATCGGCCTTTAGCCCCATTAGCTTCCCCAGTACTTTTTTTTTCTAGTGATAGCTATTATATTTATTTCCTCCCCTTCACTTTAGCTTTTTGATTCTTCAGTATTTTTAAAATTCTGTTAATGTGCTCTACGATGAAAAATGATGCAAAGTATTTATTAATCCCTCTGCCCATTACTGGTTCCCTATTATTATTTTCCATCCTCATTCTCCAAGGGCCTTTTGTTCACAGTTTGGCACTTCTCCCCCCTTTTTATATATTTAAAGTTCTTGTTGTCCATTTTTTATATTACTTGATAGTTTACACTGAGTTTATTTTCTCTCTTTTTATGTTTTTGGTCAACATTTGTTGGATTTAAAGTTTTTCCAATTCTCTGGTTACCATTAATCTGTGCCATGAAGTATGTCTTTTCTTTCAATTTGACACTATCCTGAACTTACTTTGTTAATAATTGTCAGTTTATCTCATTCCGAGGGCCCATATTCCTCACTGGGATATATCCTTGCTATGAACCATGAACTATTGTCTATGCAATAGCTAGAAGATAAAATCTATTAACTTGACAGAGCACACTGTGGACTTCTGAGTATTACACATCATGGTACAAAAGGGACAGTAGCAACATAGATGGAAAAAGTGGCTAAGTGATAGGAAACAGAGAAACAGTCAGCAGATATTTTTTGAGCTTGAGGGAGGTTTGTAGTGGAGTTCCCCAGGATTCAGGTATTGGGGCATTTGCTTTTCCTGATCTATATTAAAGGTCTGAACCTTAGTGTGCAAGGGACAATTTCAAAAGTTTGCAGATGAAACTTCGAAGAGTTGTAAACCACGAGGTCAACACTGTGAAACTCCAAAAGGATGGTGACAAGTTGGTAGAATGGGCAGTTAAGGTGGCAGATGAGGTTTAACGCAGAGATGTGAACAGTGATACACTTTGATTGGAAGAACATTGAAAGACAATACAAACTAAAAGGTACAATTCTAAACGGAGTACTGGAGCAGACAGACCTGGGTGTATATATGCACAGATCATTGAAGGTGGCGGGGCATGTGGAGAGAGAAGCATAGCATGCAGTATCCTTGGCTTTATTAATCGGGATATTAGAGCAGGGAAGTGACCTAAGACACTTTTTATTATTCACTTG